GCTAGGGAGGTACCTTGACACCTATGAAGGATACTGAGGACTTAATTACCTCCTGTTTTGCTGGTGACCCTTCTCAACAACACAAGACACTTAGTTTGGACCTCAAATTTGCACCTGAGCTTCTGGTAGGAGACAGCACCCTATATGCAGAGGTGCAAGCAGTTACCCATTGATGGCATTTGCTCAATTAGTGGCTCTGAGCAGCGTGTTACTCACTGCTCATCCTTCTCTTGCACCAGCTCATAAACTCTGGAGATGGGATTGATCAATGTAGATTTAACCTTGAGAAGTAGTTGCTGCTTCCTGAGCTGTGACTTTAATGTGGAGACTCTTTCCTGAAGGAGCACTGTCATCTTTCACAAAACTCGTATCAGGGATCAGTGTGAATGTAACAGGGCTCTGTAGCCACTCATACCTGACCAGCGACTGGGTGCGTGTAATCCTGTCAAGTGTGAACTTGGGAGCTCTTCTCATCTGCTGCAGAAGGTTTAACAGGCACATGGAAAATTTGGGCCCATCAGGTCTTTGACTGACTTTACCAGTACAAAGGTAAGAACATGAGCATGATTTTTGCATGGTTACTGCATTTTGTAATTTTTTTTTTGCTGGATGCAGAATCACAGCCAGGAGAGAAGGGGACAAACTGTACTGAACAGAGTGGAAAACAGTCAGCATAAGGTTGTTTCCCTTCACCTCTGCAGCATCTGCTCTGCTCAGTCAGACAAAGCCCAGATGGCATCGAGATTCAGCTCTGCAAATAGAAATGGTGACCCTTGCTGCAGTGAAATCTGTTTCCCACAGAGGTGCGTGTTTGCAGCTGTCAAGGGCTCCCTGCTTCGTACCTGTGGAGGGGGTAAATGACAAATCCTTGCACACAGCTTCCAGAAGCAGGAGGTGTTTCAAACTCTTGTTCAAGAGCAGTCCTTGGCTTTCTGCTGGTAACTAGGGTTCTGCTAACTGTGCCCTTTTACAGAGACTTCACCTCCTCAGGCCTTAGGAAATAGCATGGCAGCACCTTTTAGAATTTAAACTTTTTTTTTTTTTTCCTAGGATGAGATAACCTTGGCTCCTCTCACTCCTTCCTTTTGCATGCCATTTGTTATTTCTCTGCTATCCTTTGCTTGCTAGCAGCACTCTACTGTCAGTTGTCATTTCACGGTTACACAGCTCTGTCTACTTGACCATGAATATGTTTTTTTTTGTCATTTACTTAAATGTTTCCATTTGCCTTTTGTCTCTCTTGCCGTTTTCATTCTCCCTTGTTACATGCAGTCTGACCCACTGGACATGGTTCTGTATGTCCTTCATGAGCCAACTTCCTTAAAGAAGCATGGCTTTATCCACTAAGCATGGGTGCAGATTCAGAAGGTTTATCTTCTGTTTCCACTTCTGGTATGGATTTCCCATTTGACTTTGGACATGTAAATGGGCATCTCCAAGCCTTTACTGTTCCAACAGAAGGACGTTGGGAAGTGATAATGCCCATTTCTCTGTGTTCTTGTGCGTTCTTCCTAGGTTGATAGCTTCTGGCCAGAGGAGTTTAATTAGTCAAGATCATTATCTCATCTTTACATGTGTGCCACAGGTAGTCCCTACTGGGTCCTCTCTAGGTTATTGTAATGTATGTTCTTATTTGAAATTAAAAACTTTTACTATAACCTCTTTTCTCCTCTGACAGTAACACAAAAGCACCAACTTGGGCTGAACCATGTTTTCTGTTTCAAGTGAAATTTGTTCTATACTTTTTTTCTCAGGAAAATAGCTTTGATGAATATTTAAAACATTTTGTAACACTGAAAGTGACAACGGGAATAGAGAAGCTGACTGTGCAGAAATAAAAGCCAGGCTACACCTAAAGTTCAGAAAGCAAACGTGCCAATGTCAAGCACTACATACCTTTTGGTTCTTGAACCTTATGGCTGTAGGAAAATCAACATTACAAAAAACCAGTTACCTTTGAAACAGATCCTGTGTTTACTGGAAAAGCCTTATGCAAGTGTTAACAGATCAGGTGAAATCCTACATACTGTACACTTAGGCTTAACACATTTCTAAAAGGAGGAAGGCAAGATGGGTGGACCGTAATGGCATTTTCACAATGTAAAAGCATTTTGGTTTTGCCAGTGTAAATGGTTCCTTCCAGACAAGTGCTACAAGTATGATTCTTGCTACAAACAACACTCAGTAAAGAGGTCGAGGGTTCAGCTGGGCCCTGGAGATCATACTTTTTTTCTTTAAGGGAGACAGAATTCTGACTGTGCTGTACATGCTTCTGTTAACTGACCATCTGTACCCATCTCCAAATTTACTGATTCAGATGATTCATATGGATATGAATACTGTTTACGTAAAGAGGAACTTCTTATACATGAGCTTAAACTAGTATGTGTAAATGATTAGCAACCAACTGGCATTCTGCAATTAAAATAAGTAACTTGCTTGTTAACCTTGTATTGTTCAGGCATTTGCACTGCAATAGCACTAAGGCAGTATCTGGTTATTTTGGATGAAGCATAAATACTCTCTGCCTGGGAGACCTTGTTTAAGACAGAACAAAAGAAGGGTATGAATATCAGATCAAGAGACTGTAAGTTTGTAGAGGCTGCTCTGAACAGAGTAATTACCATTATTCACAAAACAAGTCACTTTGCTGTTCTCATTTCTAGGCATTTTGTCATCTTGGAGATGTGAGGATGACTAAGATTGAAGACATCCCTACTGATGAATATCAGGGACTCAATCACCTGCTGCCAGTGAAGTGACTTTAAATGTGCCCTTAGATTTTGTAGCCATTTCTTGATTTCTTTGGATTTTTGAATTGAGAAGCTTGATTCGGGCTCCTCAGAAACTTTTAGCACCCATGCCAATTTGTTATCTGAGCTGGAAAACAACTCCATGGGAAGCCACTGCTCTTCTGAACCCACCAACTGACTCCTTACTGCTGATTTTGCAAGGTTTAATGTGCACTTGCTGCATATCCACGTGGAAGCAGAATTTGAACTCCTTTGGGCTGTACATCTAACTCATTGATTTATTAGGACAATGATTTAATAGTCTCATTCCCTGGTGATCCTATTAACTTCCAAGCAACGATGTCTGTTTAGCTGTGCACGAAGAGCTGTTCTCAGAACTGTTTTCGTGATTAAAGATTAACAGTGTGATAAAAGCAAGGAAACATGGGTATCCTTGGAGTTTGTTTCTTACATCAGTTGGGTTAAACCTTTACTATCTTTTCTCACTGTGTATCTTCACTTTGTGTTTGGCAATCAAACTTTGCACAGCTCCAGCACGTTTCCTCCAGTTTAGTCAAAACAAGAGGAAAACTTTCGGCCTTTTAAACACTTAACTCTTTGACCTTTGCACAAACAGCAGCAGAAACCTTTACTAACTAACTAAGGGGAGTTGTCTTTAAAACTTTCTTTGCTATCTCTCAGATTAAAGAGTATTCTGCAAAAACAGTAGAAGTCACTGAGGTGTACTTAACTGTATAACCATGGTAATGTCTTGTGAAATGGAAGAAGTAATGTGCTTCTCAGGTAAACCTTCTTCCAAACAGACTCAGGCATGCAAATCTGCTGTTTGCCACAAGCAGTGGTACATTACTGGATGGCGGAATTGTTTCTAAACATATCATGATGTTAAATGAAATGGTTAATAGATAAATTGCAATTATGGTTAATAATTTTTAGACCACTTCCCTGAGTTGTGTCTAAGCAATCAATTATCCCTGGTACTTTCAGCTCCAATAAGTCCGTTAAATACTTCCCCTTTTATATATCCCACATCTGTATGGTCTTATGCCCTGTTTTTTTGTCAGGTTTTTTTTGTCATGATATATAATTATAATCATTGACAGCGTGGAGCAGGATTTTAAAAGCATAGGCAATACTTAAGAGCAATACTTAAGACCATTCAGCCTTTTAACTTAATATAAGTTGCTTTGGTTCTTTTACAAGATCCACTCATATTTAAAGAGATGATTTGCCTTTTCAGAGTCAGGATGAGCACTGGAGAGAGAATAAAGCACAGCTCTCCCCATTCCTTAAGCACAGCCCAAATCTAGTTGATCATGCACAAATGGCCACAGTCCAACACCGTGCCTCTGAGACAGCTCTGTCGCTGGGTCTGAAGTCTGACTAGCTTTCATATGACTGGAGATGGGGACCAGAGACTAGTCTTCTCTTTGGTAGACAAGAAATCCAAGTCAGATCTCAATCCTTAATGATGTATCACAGTATCACAGTATGCTAGAGATTGGAAGGGACCTCAAAAGATCATCTAGTCCAATCCCCCTGCCGGAGCAGGAACACCTAGATAATGTTACACAGGAATGTGTCCAGGCGGGTTTTGAATGTCTCCAGGGAAGGAGACTCCACAACCTCCCTGGGCAGCCTGTTCCAGTGTTCCGTCACCCTCACTGAGAAGAAGTTTCTTCTCAAGTTTAAGTGGAACCTCTTGTGTTCCAGTTTGTACCCAATGTCTGCTAGAATAAACTGCAGCTTCCACCTCAAAATTGGAGGCCTGGGGGCAAAATCAAAAAAAGAAAAAATAATAATAATATTCTTCTTTCCAAGTGATCAGTACCTTTTCTGAAATTCAGACTGTGTCTGTGACCTGTGACCTCCAGGTCAGCACTGAAGCACTAAGTTAACCCTGAATCTACAACTTTGAGTTGCTTAGAAGAGCATACAAAATAATATATATATCTATATACTTAATTTTGCTCATTAGCTGACATGCTTTCCTTTATTTATTTTTTTTTAATTCAAGCTTTTGGTGTCTCTGAAGAAGTGCTCTATGTATGCAAGTGGGACGCTAAAAGGACAAGTTGACAACAGTACCAGAAAGCACAGAAGAAAGATTTCATTTAGTGACTACAACTCCATAAACTGAACAACATTAAAAGAAGCCCCATGAATTGGAGGATTATAAAGGTGTATTCTTCCTTCCTCTGAAACAGATGATGCTGTTAAGGAGGTTAGCTACTGTTGTTATTAGTAGGCCAATATCTCACTGCAAAACAGGTGATGAAGGTAGCAATTGTCCCTGGTGTAAGGGCAAAAGGAAAGGCGTGTATGTTTTCAGACCGTTGTTAAGACACATAGATACCGCTATGACAGGTGCAGTGTGAATGCGACATATACTTGGAAACAAAAGTGAGACATTGTAGAAAAGTGAAAATGGAAAACTTTCCAGATGCCAGGTGGAAAATTGTATTAAAGCTGTCAAAATAAGTCACAACAAAGACTGGGTTTTCTCATAGACTAACAGGAGTCATGTTCTGGAGAAGAATGGGGTTTTCAACTATGAGATGGAGTATCACAAATGAAACAGTTATTAGTATTAGAGGTTAAATTGGGACTTATTTGTTTTGGCTTTTTTGGATTTGGTCTTTCTTGTACTTTTTTTTTCTCTCTTTCAAGCTTACTGCAACAGTGCTGATATACTCGGAGTTTTGTGGACAGGTCAAAAATATGTAAATAAATTGCACCTTATTGCTTCACATAGTTATGTATTCTGGGCTTAATTCCAAACCCACTTAAACTGATGGCAGTGCTTCTGTGGGCATCAGAGGACTGCAGTTTAGGACCTATATTAGGAAAATGGAGATGCAAAGCATATGCAGTAGAGGTTGGTTATACAGCCTCTGCAGTCATCCAGAGTGATTTTCTAAAACACAGGAAGGAAATAAAACTGAAAACTGAACTACCTTCAAGGTCAAATATGCTTTGTGTACATGATAATGGAGCTTTTAAAAAAGTCAGCTCCATCTAAACAGCATTAAGCATCTTAAGTATTATAAAAGGCATTACTCAGATTTCAGACTGATAATCTGAACAGATAATCCAACATTTTACTCATTAAAAAAAGTCAGCTGCACTGCTTATATTTGGGTAGAAAAATACAGATTGGAACAAGGTTTGCTGTGTTTCCTTAGTACAGCCAAGAGTAGAATTTTCTCTGCTGATTTAGGATTTTAGTTGTCCGTGCATTTACTTCCATGCACTGGTAGAGTCTTACCAGCAATTTATCTGTTATTTTGTGGCTGATTTCTGGTTCTTTATGTAACATTACTTTTTAGCATAAGAGAATGTGCTTACATTAAACTCCTTATGTTCTTTATAAAATACGCCTAACAAACAATAATGTTTACTCCCACAATATGACTTATAAAATAAAAAGGTCCTCTGTTCTTTTCAGGACAGGTTTTTTTTCATGGAGACTGTTGATCTGTTAGAAAGAAATACAGCCTTTAGAGCAGAGGGTAAAAACTTGATTGCGGTTAGAGATAGATGATGCAGCAGGCAGCACTGGTAACTGGAGATTGTACACACAATAGACCCTAACGGCCACTATGGAGCTGTTAACTTCTATTGTGTCAAGGTGTAATTAGAAAGTGGTTGAAGTTGCAGATTGCTGATCTAAGTGGTGCCTTTAAAGTCAATGAAAATTAACTGAATTCTATATTTAAGTTCTAAATCCTTGAAAATATTAGTTTATAATGGAAATAATGACAGACCTTTAACTGTAGCTGCATGGATGTTGCTGGTATTACTAATGCAAAAGTAGAAAGCAGGACAGCTCTTGGATGCTTACAACTGTTCTAATGCATAAAAACTCATTAAAATTTCCTAAAGGAGGATATATTATTATAACAACCTTTTTTCCTCAGTGCTCTTCAACTATCATAATTGCACAGTATACATAGCAACTTGAAAGGAGTCAGAAATGTGTAAGAAGGATAATCTCTGGCTACAGTCACCAAAAGCATAATTATGTGAATACATTGCATATTCTGCATCCTGTTCTTTGGTTTTGAGAGCCCACAGATTCTGTAGATGATGAATAATGCGGTATCTAACTAAAATATCAGCCCTAAATTGCTGGAATACGTATTCAACCTTAAATAATTGCTTTGGATTTGTGTTGATTCCAAGTAATGTAATAGTTGTGACTAATCTGCAGTTATTACATGTAAAAAAATAATATTCTTTTTGCACTTAGGATTCTACAGATTTGTGGATAGGTGAAGTTATTGTTAAGGGTGTTTATCGGAGTTGCAGAAACTTTCTGTCTCTGAAGATAAGGCCCAGTAAAGTCAGGGACCTAAAAACAGGCTTGTTATGAGATTCACTTATCAAGATACAGAAGTTTTAATTTTTCACTCTTAGAACTTGTTACAGCGACCCCACCAATGTACTTTTCACAGCTGCATCCTTTGCAGTAACCAGAATCACTTGTTTTTCCAGTAGCACAATATAGGCCTGCTCCCTCAGGCACCCACAACACAGAAAGAGTAATGACCATGGAAAAGGGGCACTTGGCTCCTGGGTACCCAAAAATGTTAACTGCAACCAGAAATACACCATGTAATATTGGCTTTGTCCAAAACACCCCCTTGTCCGATGGTACAACTAATAGGCCAGCAGCATCTGTTCCTATTTTGTGCTAAGGATATTTCACAAATGCAAGTTTTAATGTGTTACTTACACAGGCAATGAAAGCCACAGGTTGCTCAGGGGTTTTGTTTAAAGTTCATTACACAGTTTAGCAGGACCTGGACCACACTGAGCTACAGTCACTGCGCAATGTACAGTACTTTGCTACACACAGAACTAGTATTTAGTGATAGAGCTCCAAATATGTACTTTGCACTAGTGCATAATAGAAATTAATGGTGTCAGCCTTATAAAATGTTTGACAGTTGGAAATTGCTAGTCTAGAAGGGTACACAAAATTAAATGGTAAGTCTCTAAAATCATACAAGTTTACCTCAAAGACATTTTTACAATGTCTTTGGAGAAGTCTTTTAAGTCTAAAAACTTCTTGTTCTCACTGAATAACCAATCCTGGCCTAAAGTAGAGCATAATGATGCTTATGTATCGCTCTACTGCCTCTGCAAGCCTACTTCAGCCAATTCTGTGGAACACTTCAGCTCCCGGGGTACGCGGTGCTGCGGCACCAGCAGTCAGCCCGCTCTTCAGCACCACTCCAGTGACACGGCACCCAGGATGAAGTGCTTCTGCGAGAGAAACATGGGAGGTACTTCAAATACTTTGCAAGTGGGGAAACCAATTGAGCTCAGCGCCGTGGTCTCCAGCCAAGTGGGAGCAGAAGGTTAAGGGCCTGCAATTAAAGACCGAGAGATCATCATCGAGGGCTCGAGTGTGACAAAATGGCAGGCTGCTGTGACAGGAGGCCTTGCTGCCTACCACCCCCGCTTTCACAGCGAGGAGATGGGCTCTTTGCTGAGCACCGGGCACGGGCCCTGCACGGAGAGGCCGCTGGAGGTTCCTCCATGTGCCTCCTGCGGAATTAACCAGCCCCCCCCACACGGGCGATGCTGCCCACGAGCGGGATCCCCGCTGCGGGGCCGGCTGCCCGCTGGGTGCGCGGGGCGGCCATGCCGAGGTGCACAGCCCCGTCTCCACCGGCCTCGCTCGCCGCCGCGGCTGCTCGCTCGCCCGCCCGCACCCCGAGGGCTGGGCACACCGCCGTTGGAGCGCAGCCGCCTGCGGGAGGCCGGAGGGCGGCGGCAGGGAGGTGGATTGGGTTGGGGAGAGCCCGGGGCGGAGGCGCAGGGAGAGGTGGAAGGGGTGAGGGCCCGCCGGGAGGCTCTGTGGGTTGCCAGTGAGGCGGCGGGGGCCAGGAAGCGAGGTGTTCAAGGGCTGGAGTGTGAGGCAGGTCCAGGGCATTGTCCTGAAAGCCTGTGATTTGCCCTCATTTTTAACCTTCGCCTTTTGAACAGGTTCACTCGGCAGTGTATGTGGCCTTAGGGCTGCTGGAGCCTTTCCCCAAACTACGGGGTGTAGAAAAAAAGACTGAGAGAAGGGAGTGATGGGGACAGGAAAACCCAAGTGAAGGAGAGGAGCAGCACCTGTGAGCACAGTGGGGACTCAACATGCAGGCGGGGGCGAGTGTGTCCCCAGAGTGGTCCCTGTTTCCTGAAGCGGATGGAAAGCACTTGCTGACCCTACAGACAGTGTGTCCAAGCACAGAGGAGGAGGACTTGGAGGGCATCTGCCCGATAAGTGCCCACCCGCAGAATGGCATGGTCGTGGCAGCGCTGCCTGGGGCGGTTGTGCTGCAGCCCGTGCTGTGCAACGTGCCGGCAGGCATGGCCATAAGCGTGCGGGAAGGGGTCTCTGTGTTTTGTGACTTAGGGCTGACGCAGAGTAATGTTTTACAAGAAGAAGGGCAAGCAATTAGTTCAGAAAGCAAGCCAACAGGGAAACCACCAGACATGCTACTGATTGAGGTACGAGTCCTGGATGTGGTGAAGATGGCAGTAGGTTAACTCTTAGCTGGCAGCATCACAGATTCGGTTCTGACTTCAGTATTATCTTTTCTAGGCATTCAGATTTGTTGAACTGAAGTATCTAATCCTTTGTACAGCTTTTTAGAATGTCATCCCATGTTTAAAAAGGCAGACTAAAAATTTGGCCTTTTTAGATAACTAATCAGTTGAAATTCAGACGAGTTTTTAATTCAGTTCACCAGTTTGGTGCTGTTTCGTTTGACAGGCTAGATATCTTAAGTAGTATTAGACAATTTCCCTTATTCTGCAGTAGTACAATACTGCAGTCATTGTTAAAGCTGGATGTGTAATATGATCTCATTTGAAATGCATTTCATTGAAAGGACATGCAAACATTGGTATTTATCCTGTGCTAGCTATTGGTTTTATAATAAAATAATAATTGTTTTTTTGTTTGAAAATTCATGTACTACCCTAGTTAATTTCTGAGTATGGTCATATTTAAGTTTAATGCAGAAAGTATCACAACCTTGTTAATTGCCGTATGACAAAGAAGGCATTGCAGTTAGGCTGCAGAAGTCCTGTGTTTGGTGAAAAATTGAGCACATACTTTCTGCTTGTTTTCTTTTGAAAGGTAAATGCACTGAAATGAAATTCTTTTTAAAAAATGAGGACACAAGTTTCTATGTTCTCAGTGCTGTAATCTTGAAATGATGCTCTGAAAGTTTATGTAAAATTTTAAAGAGCTAGGGCTCAATTATAGTAATTGTTCGCTATATGACATAGCAGCTGTATGTTACATACAGTTTGGGTTTTGTTGCAGTTTTACCCATCGTACTTAAAGCTAAAAATCAGAATTAATGAGTATCTTGTATTTTGTTGGTAGCTCATTTGCTTTGCCACTGGCTTTGATTAACAAAGTTGTAAAACTTTTTAAAACAGATTGACAGAGATAATGATGTAATTGCGTTTGAAAGTAAGGTCCAGCAGCTGACACCATCTGAAGTGGGGGGAGTAGAGGAACTTCTTTTCACTCTTGGGGAAACAAAGAGCTGGAGCTGCAAAGCCAGTGATGATTTATCAGACCCAAGTGATGAAGGTAAAGAGCAGAAACATGCAACTCCATCAGAACAAGCAGCTGTGAGAAATCCTGAGAATCCAGAATTTCAGATTTGTGCTCCACATCAGAAAAAAGGTAAAAAAGTTAGCAATCCTTGTAGTTCACTTTTAGATAACATGTTAAGTTTGATTTTTAAGTGAGGTTGAAATCTTATAGCAAATATTCACAGTGTTTAGATTAGGTTTCATCTTAACATTCTATGGAAATTTGGAAGAGGGCGTAATACCTTTCAACCTTACTTGATAAAAGAGCTGGTTTAAGCTGATGTCATCTGTGCTGTGTTCAGGGGAGACGTTTTGGATGGCATTTAGAATTTAATGGTCTTTTGAACAGTATGTGGTATTTGAATCCTTTGGGGAGATTTCAAAGTTAATATTGTATAACTGCCTTTGAATAAATCTACTAACTTAGTTAGTCTTCCTTAATTCCATCATTCAGCTTCAAAATGTGCTTGTCTGGGGGGCTATGGATGAGCTTAGAGTGGTTTCAAGTTGCTGGTTGAGGGTGATGGGCAAATATCAATGCCTGTCAGCAAGGTATCTTCCAGAACTTGAGTAAAAGTAACAGAAAATGGCTGATTTCAGATTTTAGGAACATAACAGTGTGTTGCATAAGTTAAGGACTGACTCAGAAGGGAATCATAAGCATCTGTTTCCCTAGAAACTGTGTGTGTGTACTGTAAAAGTTGGATGACATCAGTAATGTTGAAGAGTCTGTAAACGTGTGTCGTAGTATCTGGATATTAAGGTATCTTGGCTGAGGTTGTTTAAAGTATGGATGTTGTACAAATTTTTAATGCCCCTTGTTTTAGTTGCTGCATTTATAGGAAGCACATTTGAGCAGCTTTAACAGAGCTAACAATGTTGTTCTGTGTGGGCATGAATCCACAATGAATAAATAACCATAAAGTGTTTTTGTTTGCTGTTACTGAAGTGAAGTGTTAGCTGCATATCTCTGTGTGGTGTAAAGCATTGTATAAAATACATTTTGGTCTCAGCATGAAAATCATTGCAAAGAGCACATTTGGGAGCTGAGACAACTGTTCTGGAAAGGCTCTTCGAATATGACATATTTGCCATTTTGCAGTTTCAGATCTTCTTCAAAACTGAAAATGTTACACATTCACTTTTAACTTACTAAATTCGAAAGAAATTCATTACGGCTATGCCATGAACTTGGACGTGTTCTGTAATCCAGAAAGCATAACTTTATTTGACTTCTTCAAGGAATTGATCTTTTTTCCTCGAATTCAACTAATAATTTTAAAAAGGCTTTTTATGTCATGATCTTTTTTACATATACTTTATGGATTCAGGACTATCAGAAAGCTGAGAGTAGCTTAACTTGTAATTTCCAAATCTTTGAACAAGCTTGCTTAGTACTAATATACAGTTGTCACCAGGAAGTATATTGCCCAGGTTGTAATTGCCGTGATGAAGCACATTTTATTGGTGCTATCAAGAGAGGAAGTTTCATCCTGTCTTGGAGGTGAGAGCTTGATTAGGAGTTAGGTTTCTTGGGGCTAGGTTCTAAACTGTATCAGTAATGTGTGGCGCTACTTTTTGGGGCAAATCACTTAAGTCTTGGATATAATAATTTCTATCTGTCAGCTTAATTTTTTTTTAATTCTGTATTTTTATGTAGAAGTACAAAGTAGTCTTACCCAAAGTAGAGGAACAATAATGAAATCGATACTATTTTTTGAAGAAGTCATTATTTTGTGGCTCATATAATCTAAATATGTTTTTTCCCACAGGAGAAAGAGAAGTTTTCCGCTGTGATTTGTGCACATTCACCTCACTCAGAATATCAAGTCTTAATCATCATGTGAAAACCCATTCTGATGAGAAATCTCATGTGTGTCACCTCTGCCTTAAGGCTTTTCGTACAGCTACTCTCCTGTATAACCATCTGAATGTACATACAGGTATCTAACATGTGGAAAGACTTCATTTTACGTATTATCTACAAAATTGTCTTAGGGCTGTATTCTGTGGTCATTTTGTGCTCTGATTTTGTTTGGAGTTCTACACTGAAAAGACATGGTCTATAGTTAGTAACTCTCTGTGTATGTATTAATTTATTCTGTTAAATACTTTCCTAATAATTTTTGTTAACTGAATGTTGACTTCTGTTGTGTCTGATTCCATGTGTGCAATAAAATTTTTTGTGATGTTTTCAGTTTGCTATATAACCATATGAAACAAACTGATAAATTGTGTTTATAATAAACTTATGGTTTTACGTATATAGTACATAAAATTCAGAAACTCAGAAAAAGTTCTGGTAAAAAATTGTGCATGATAATTAGGGCAGACAAATCATACTGATGTGTTGATAAATAAAATTCTAAGAAATGGTCTGTTCTTACAGGGACCAGGCCCTATAACTGCAGTGACTGTGATATGGCATTTGTGACCAGGAGTGAGCTTTCACGACACAGGCGTTACAAGCATACCTTAGAAAAACCTTTCAAGTGTTCATTGTGTAAATATTCTAGTGTAGAAGTAAGTACAGCCTTTCTGGATCTTTTGGAACGGTTTGTAGGCTTTCACGTACTAAGATATTAACGCACTTCAACTTCTGTCATTTTTGCTAGATTTTAACCTTGAGAAGTTTCTGTGCATATATTGTACTGTCATGTATCGTCTTTTCTTACTGTCAGATTTCTATATGAAATAAACTCAATACATTACAGAGGTAGTTGCAGATGTCAACTTACAGTATTAATACTTGGCTCGTGATGCAGATGTACATGTGCATTCTGAGTTAGGAAGAATAGCCAAACTTGCACAATATTATTTAGCTTTTTTAAACCAATTACATTTGAAGCGTGTTTTCTTCTTTATTATATTAAAATTGCTGCTAGGCAATAATGTCTTTGTATTACTTTGATCATGCAAAAGCATCCTACAGAAGTTCTCCTGTACGTGTCATTCTATGTACTGTAGGACAAAACCGGCTAATGTCTAAAATGAAGTTCATGTGTTATGTTTAAATGCTTGCTGATGTTTGGGGTTTTTTACAGAGCTGAAATTTTCTTAATCTACAATAAAAAAGTTAGTGACTGCCTAAGGATTCACTGGGAAAAATAGGCCTTCAGTGATGTACCTATGATTGAATCACAGTCATGGTTATCTGTGATTGAATCGCTGTCAGTTTCGTGGATATTCAGTATCTAAAGTTTTTATGTGCTGTGTCCAAATCTAAAGCTGCAGGCAAGCCTGAATTTTATTCCACACAACTTACCTTACTAATTAGATCTTGGATGGCTTGCATCTTTAAAAAAACTTTTCAGTTTGTATTAAAGTCTCCCATTATTTTCCTTGTTTTAATGAGTGTTCAGTACTCATTGCTGTTGTGGAACTCTCACTGATACTGCTGTAAGCTTTACCTGAATGAGGAGAGCTGAAGGAGCCCCCTAGTAATACCATGCATACAATTTGACTTTGGTATAGAAAAGATTGGCAATCATGTTTAATTTTATTTAAGTGTCGTAGATTTGAATGGGTCTAGCAGAGAGTTCATTAGTTCATATATGTTTATAAATGTAGGAATTAGAACATTAGGTAACTCCTAATTTTAGCTTGCATGCCTACAGTATTTATATAGAATGTGTCACAAGAACAGTATTAAAAAGTGGACTGAATTTGCAATTAAACTGCTTCATTGTCCCTTGATGGTGAGCACAGCCTTTGGTTAATGAGTTTGGTCTTTCATTTATTTTCCTGATATTTTCAAAGAATTTCATGTGTGACATATCCAAGTAACCTGAAAGTAGTGGATATCGCCTTTAAAAATCCTAGCTTTTATGTTCTAATGAAATTTCTCCTTTTGTTTATGTTGACACTAAATACGAAAGTAAGATCATTTGGGGAATACACAAGCGTTACCTAAAACCACACCAGGCTGATTGTACAGGAAAAAAGGGGTGGCTGGATGAGCATTAATTCTGGGATTGATGGATTATTTTAAATTGCAATAGGCGTGTTGTGTAAAATTGCTTGTATTTTAATTGTTTGGGTGTCCAGTGTGTTACTGCAGAAATGTTCTTATTTTTATGGTAGGCAAGCAAAATGAAACGACATGTTCGCACACATACAGGAGAACGTCCTTATGCCTGTGAACTTTGCAGTTATGCTAGCAAAGATGCATATAAACTGAAAAGGCACATGATAACTCATTCAGGTAGGACTCTGATGTAATGATCAGGTAGACTGAGTCAATTGTCAGTCGTGATGTAATTCTTGATGATATTCATCATCAAAATTATTTTTTTTATTATATTTATATGACTTTTGGGGGAAGAAAGGCAAGAAAATAATTTCCCTCTTTCTCTTCTACCATTATGATTGGCTGGTGTTGATTCACTTTTATTATGACGTTGTTACAGCTGTAAACTTTCTCCATGCACATTTGAGGATAATTCTGCATTTTTGTACATTAAATATTCAGGACAGAGTAGAAGATAATTAAAATAATTCCTCATTAATAGTTTAGAATTTTAATAGCTTTATGTTTCATCAGCTTGACTCACAGATTCTGGAAGCCAAGTTTTTGCATTCTAATCAGCTATGTAAACTTATTTAAACTTGTTTAGCCTTTTGTGTTTTGCCCACTAACAGTAACATTTTCATTGGTCTGAAGACTGTTACTGTTAGAACACAGATGTTGAGACGTGGCAATTTTGCATTTGTAGCAAATGAGTGGCGTTTCTAAGCATATGTTATTATAAGATGTATTTTACAGGTGAAAAACCCTATGAATGTTATGTTTGCCAGTCCACATTCACTCAAAGTGGTACCATGAAAATCCATATGTTACAGAAGCATGGAGAAAATGTGCCAAAATACAAGTGTCCACATTGTAGTGCCTTTATTGCGCGAAAAAGTGACCTGGGTGAGTTTAAAGTAAAAAATTGAACTGTAGAGGTAATTAGAGGTGAAATCTCTTCGTTTTCATTGCTTGCAACGATACCAAATATGTTACATATGACTTGGTATCATTACAAAATATTTCTATAGAAAATGTATTCGTTGTTTTACAGGTAAGTTCCTCCTGCAAGGAGATGTGGTGACATCTTGTGGTTGATGTGCTAATTTCCTTAATTTGGGGTTTTTTGCTTGATACTTGGTGGCATTGTGACCTTACGGTTTTCAGTAAGAATGTACCTCACGAAGATACATGCCCAGGTTGTAATGAAGTTTTTCCTCAAAGCCACAGAAAACAGTCAGATTTTTAAGCCATTTCAGTTCTCCCGTTCTGTTTCTTTCTCAGCTCTAGTTAAAATGAATATATGCATCTAGCTATATGAGACACTAAAGCAGATTGAATGTTTCAGTATATATGGGTTTTTTGCATATGCCAAATCAGCTTTTACCTTTTAATCTAAAATTGAACTGTATGTTTAGTTGCTGAGTGCATTGTCCTTGTAATTTAAAGAAGTACATGTAATAGCATTTGTTAGTAAAGTGCAAGTTAAATTTTGACTTCATTGGTTCATCAGAAAATGTTTTTACTATTCCTCCAGTATTCAAAATTCTTAGAATTCTAAATCCTATTGCATCGATATCAAAGATTATTTTTGAGCTGTATAACACTTGTGAAACGTGGATGGTAATGCAATAAACTCAAATGTCTCTTAGCTAGTTGGGATCTTTTTCCAGAGTGCAAAGAACAAACCACTGCATAAGTTCATCTTCATTCTCTATGCAGAGGTTCAAACTGAGAGTATAAATTAAAATTGTACTTGAGAACATAAATTGAAATTTTTTCTCATACAAACCACAGTTCTTGAAATACAAGCAATTTACTAAGGATTTATATATGAAATTTTTTAATTACTCTTCTTTAGGACAGCACTTGCTTCAAGTACCAGTAAAGTTGTCCTTATCCATGTATTTCATAAGCAAATTCATCTTTTCTAGGAAGAAAAAGGTTTTGTACAGATAAGAATTTTATTAATCAACCAGTGTTTTAGAATTATAGCATATTTGCTGTATTTGAGGCAATATAGCTGACCAAGGCAAACAAAACCTATATAAAATTTTAAGTTTACAGAAATAAATGAAATAGCTATATTAAAAAAATAGACATACAAAGATGTCTTTAGCATCTATTTGTATTTCAAATAAAGATCCTATTGAAGTCTGTTAAGTATTTGAAGGTAGAAGTGTTATATATATACAATCTCATCGTTCATGTATTTTTTGCACTGTTCATTTTAATACTGTAAGTACTACTTTGGGTAGCATTTTAAAATTAATTTTATGTGTAGACAAAAGCAGCCAGTTACTGGAATTTTCAAAAGGATTTGATTTGTTAAATGTTTTCCATGGAAATCAGTAAGAGGCTCATAACTGCTAAATCTCTCTGTAAAGTTACAACATCTTGCTGCAACTCAGTTAAACTTCCTTGAAAAATTGCTTTTTTTTTTTGCAATTTTACTCCTACTGCAGAGAACACAAAGTTCTTTTTTTGTATATCCTCTACAATGTACACATTACTCAGGGCTATGCACAGGGTAAGTCTTCTTCAAAATGCTGGAAATTAAAAATTTACTATACAAATTAATTGCTTTGTGTAACTGTTCAGGTGTCCACTTACGAAATCTGCATTCCTACATGGCAGTGGCAGTTAAATGCAGTGACTGTGAAGCTGTATTTCATGAGCGCTATGCTCTTGTTCAGCACAGGAAGACTCATAGAAATGAAAGAAGATTCAAATGTGATCAGTGCAGCTATGCATGTAAACAGGTACTCACTGTAAAAATATTGCTTACTCAGTTGAGAGTTTGGCAAGGTGGGGTTTTGGGGTTGTGTTTAAGATAAAAACTTCTGTGACTGCAGTCTAACTAAAATGGTGTAGTTATGTTTATTTGCAAGATAAATGGTTCACAAATAACAGTAAATTGAAATGCTGTAAAGTCTGAGGCTATCTTCTTGATAAATCTTTTGTACATGAACTGCTTAGAAGTACAAAGTAACATAAATCACTTTCAGTGACATTATGATAGGAACAAACTGTAATATTTGAGCCTTAAATGTGATTTTCGGTAGCGTCACAGAATAAATTTGGTCTGAACTGTAATTTTTTTAAAGAATACATTTAGGATAGAACATCTTTGGCATTGGTATGTTGGAATGTACCATTGTTCCATTCTGATGATTTTCTCTGCTAACTTCACTAAGGTTAGGAAAAAATGTCTCAGGTTCTCCAAGTCAGTGGGCAGTATCCTAGTGTGTACTTCAGTATCTGCTTACAGTGGAGGATAATTAAGGAGTGTGCAACATCCTTGCACTCCTCTGTGTGCCTGTGTGGTTTATTGAACTCTCAGAGCTGGATAGGTATGTTAGAGGTATTTTCTTTGTTTCAGGAACAACACTTAATTGTACATAAAGGAACCCATACTAGGAAGAAGCCCTTTGCTTGCTTGTGCTGCAGCAAAACGTTTCAACAAAAGGAGCTTCTTACTCTTCACTCTAGGAAGCACCATGATTCTCATATTAAGCCTATAGTTTATGAATGCCCTAAATGTGGTAAGGGCTATTCACTCCGAGTAAGATACTTCCTTTTAAGGAATCTCAGTGGAGTTATCTTTAGCTAAGTATTGCAGATCACATTGTCAGGAAGGACTGAGAGTAAAAACCAGTGTACTGGCAGGAATGTTAACTCCTTAATGCTAAGCCAGCAAAACTTGTTTGTTTTCTTTCCCAAACCTTACATTAGGGGATTAATAAAGAACTTTATATTCTCCTTTAGGTAGAAAATATATGCTACTTAATCTTTTCAGGTCTGTTACTGGTTTGTGGAATTCAGTATTGAATGTTTAATACAGTACTCTTCTTAAAATGAATCAAAAGGCAGTGTGGAGGTACGAATTTTAAAAGAAAGAGTGCTAGAACCAGTTCAGCAAGGAAAGTAAGATATTATTACTCACTTCAAAGCCATATGCAGTTAGAACGTATCTCTGCTTTGGGGTTAACTGTGCACACTGCTGAAGTAAAAATAGCCTTTTTCCACATACCGATTTTACATGTAAAACTTTATTGTTTATCCAGGAACCAGAAAATTAGATGCTTGATTTATACCCACCAAATGGCAGTGTTCCTTTAAACAGAATTTTAATATATAATTTGGAAAATCTTCAGGAGTTTTATGGAAGTTTTTAACTAAGTCAGCCTTTCACTTAGCATTCCAGAATTTTTCTGTCAGAACCATATTTGTTTTTTTCTGTGTGTGTTAAATTGCTTACATACATTAATATTTGATTCATATATTTATGCTTCATTATGCTAACAGGATAACATGCATAAGCATGCTGAAACTTGTGGCTTAGTGAGGGCAAAAACTGCTACACCCAGAAAAAGAAGCAAGGACAAAAATAAACCCCATGAGAACCAAAAGCATGTTAAGCAACAAGGTAATCAGCGAATAAGTTAGAATTTAATCATGTAAATTAGAATCAAGAATAAAAGGCTAAGACATTGAATCTCCCTGCTGCTTAATTACTGTTTCACAATGAAGCTAATTTAAGTGCTAATAATGGAATAATACTTCATTGTGTGTCAGAAATTCTCGTCCTCTGATTTGGGTCATTGCTCAGGTACCCATTCTGGGACTGTTGTTCTCTTATTCCTGCAAATGACTTCCTATGCTCCCTGCTTAGCAATGCTTGCAAATGTGGTTTTCTTTCCCCTTTTACAAATTCCCTTTGCCTTTATAAATGAGGATGAAGCACATAATTTACTGACTTAAGCCATAGTGAGTTTTCTTAATTTATAATATACTTCTTTAATACAGACCAAACGGAAAACTTTCAAATCTCAGAACTCAGATTGCATGTTAATCAGAAAAGATGTAGCACATTGTAATAAAGAAATTGTTCATCTTCTTTCTCTTCTACTTAGACCTGAAAGTGATCAAATAATGATAAAAATACTACTGATTTAAATAGCTAGAGTCATTCTTCTGTCATACTGCAGAAGTGATCAGGCTGGTTTATAGAGCTCTTGGTTCAGCATGTCTGTGCAATCATAAACTCATTTGTACTTACTTAGCGGTACTCATTGTGGGTAGCTCTTGAGCACTGAGCATTTATTCTGTAAACTTCAACATAAACCAAAGGATGGTCCATTATTTATCTCTTTCCTTCTCTCTTTTTTTCTCTGCTTCCTCATCTTTTGTCATTAGGTTAAGATTCCCAGAAAGTAAGTTCAGCTTTTGGCAGATTGTGATGGTAGAATAATTGGTCAGTTGATTGTCTCTGCAGCAGTAAGTGGTGTGCCTTTGGGTAATGCTAGTGCATTCCTGATAAAATCATTTGTTTTGTCTTATTTTCAACTCTCAAATCATAAGTTTTGGGGGTTTTTAATTCCCTTAAATAAATCTTAGCCTGTCACCACATATGCAGTGATAGTATATCAGGTTCACTTTAAAGTTTAAATTTAACCCAGAGGAGGTGTCTACTCATAATTTCATTTATGGGCATTTCTGTTGAGTTACACAAAGCACAATATACAATATTCAGGTCAGGGCATGGGCAAGGAGCCCTGTATCCTCTTGCATCCTGCCTTCCTTTTGTGTGTTTGATCTAATGCTGAGTCCCTGCATTGTTGCAGGGTGAGAGTTGGTTACCTGTTTCTGAGGTCACCTTCAGGGCCACCAAGGCCAAAAAATAGCTCTGCCTGACCAGAATATCCTGTCATTTTTTTGCCCCTTTGCTTCCCAGATGCTGTTTGAAAGCCACAGTAGTCTCCTACATTCTTCAGGTGATTTTTATGGAGGAAAAGACAAGAATGGAGATATATCTAAGTCCTAGGTGTCCTGAAACTTTACATTTTGGTATATCCTATTGTATCTACACTGATTTGTGGCTGATGACAGATAAAATCTGACATAGAAGAAGAAATGTTGGAGCTTTTCTGAATCTAATGAATATATATCAGCAGCTGAGTTTACATTAGCATTGACACTTCTGTTTTCACTGGTAAGGCTGTAATGGTATGGTTAGAAGTGTTACAGCTGCAGTGTTTATGTTTTTGCAATAATTAGATTTTGCTGTTTATTAATGTTTTGCTACGTGCAAACAATTTCTTTTTGGTATCTTACAGATACCTTCATCTCGAAGCTTGATTTCCTGGAGCTAAGATAATGTGTCTTTAGATGTGATTCGTGCAAATACTGAGTCCATTAATTGACTTACACAAATATTAGGAATGTCTGTGCTGGTTCCAGGTGGTTTTTTTCCCCAAAGTTGACATTTGCAAGTATATATTTCACTTCTTATACAACTTGCAGGGACCTATAGGATCCTGTATGTGGCTATACAAAAGATTACTTGTCTGATTGATGCCGTCAATGCTTTGCTGTAACCAAACATTAAAATACAAAATGCATGTATAACTTTCCAGTTAAATAATAGTTTTCCCCTGATAAGAATGCCATGGGTACTACTCACTAACATGGCTTGTAATGTGATAGTCAACCTAAAATACATTCATTCTCCAAATAAACTAGGATAAAAGATATGCTGTTATATATTGTTAAATTTATTGAAATATTTACTTGTCTTTCTGGTTAATCACCACAATGATTTTTTTGTTTGAGTTTTCTTTTACAAGATTTCTCTATTGGGAAGAGTCAATATTGTTCCAGTAAGATTGTTCGTGTTTTAGATGGGATAGAAACAGCAACTCTGAGAACAGAAAATTGAAGTGATTTATGAAATGGAGTCTCAACATGATGGCCAAATATGCATGAATAGACTCTGGTCTTCCTCGTTTCACTGGTTGTAACTGAGCAGTTCAAAGTGTGTCCAATTAGGAAGCTGGAAAAGATGCTGGTTGAAAGCTGTTGAAGCCTTTCTGTGCTCATTTTGATTCTTGTTACTCTGTAACCTAAATAACACTGCCAAAGGGTGGAAGTTACAGGGAACCTTCACCAGTTTTATTACATATATGTAATAACAGAATGAGAAAAAAATAGCTATATTTCAGAATAATTTGTGGAAAGGTAGATAGGTTTCTTTCACCTTGCATTTACTTCCAGATTCGCTCACAGAATTGCCTGCGGATCTGAAGCAAGTTTATTCCTCAGTAGCTGTATAGAATTGAGAGCTGCGTGAACTTCAGTACTTTCCTGAGGTGAGCATCTGAAAGGCAGTGATTTTTTAATGCAAGGAACACTTACTGAATCTCCTTTCTGCAAACACTCTTGTTTCTAACAGAGTTCACAATGCTAAAATACAATTCTTTTTATTTTTTTTTTCTAGAAAAGAGCTGGGGTTTTTGCCCACTGGTTATAGTAATTGTTGGATGTTATTAGTTCCATTTGCCTTTCCCAGTGGTTTTCAATTGGTGTAATTTCATTCTCTTCTGAAGACTTCCTTTAGTTTTACATCAGCATGAAAAGTAGTGGCAGAAGCAGATTTTGGCTTCTTGTTGGGGTATTCAGTTCCCACAGACTTTAGGGTATGGTTTCATGGCTAGATCACACTGCCTGTCCTATCTTTTTCCCCATGGTCTTCACATAATTTTCTTTCTTCTCTCTTATTTCAGCTCTAGCAACCATATAGCTGTGGGGTGCATTGGATTAGCATGCAGATCTAATTGGAAACTAAGAGCAGTTAGCTGGACAGATGTAGAGCTGCCTGACAAAAATGAAGCAGCAGCAGTGTGTGCTGGTGTCAGAAACCACCCTTTCTGGGCACACAAAGCTTTCTGTCGCCTTAACCTGACTGGCTTTCAAGTGCAGATGAGAGCAGCTTTTTTCACCATTCTTTCCCCTTTAAATAGCCTCTTGCAAGTGCTGCCATGTAAGATTGTGATCATACATTTAGTACTAGATCCAAAACACACCCATGACTTTGATTTTAATTAGGTCTTCAATAAAACATACTTGTATTATATAGGAAAGCTCATGTTTACAATACGTTTAAAAGTCAGGGAAGTTTTAATTGTCACATACAATTCTCAACTGGCTTTTGAACTACTGGTTTTACTGCTTAATTAATTACTATAGTTAGAGTAATTAGAGTAAGTACTATTGATTTTTATAATTAGTTACAATTATCACGGTTGCCATTTATGCACTGTTCCCTCATTTTTTGTCATCTATAATTAATACTTGGAAGCCTATTCATAAAATCTTAACTACTGTTAAAGTATTCATCTCTAATGCTGCTATTCTTATGTTTCATTATAAGTAAGCATTAACATTACTACCAATTTTAATAATATTTCAGCATATAACAAGTAAATAAGTAAAATACTAATTTCAAGATTCACATCTGTGTTTAACTTCATTATAAATATGTTACTGCATTTGACCAATATGAAATGGTTTGGGGTTGCGTGTAGAGCAAGCTATGTATGCTAGTTACACTGATGTGGTTGGGGGTAGTGAATTCTGCTCTGTGCTTTGCAGTCCAGGTGAACTGCAGTTTGACATCTGAATACTGCAACTTTTAACTTTTGCTACTTTGAAAAGTCTCATAAAAATGAAAGTTTAGTTTTTTTCCAGTTAGTATAGTAAATTAACACCTTTATCCTATACTTGGTAATGTGTCTACATGCCTGTTTTACAGGGATAACTTAAATTCAGCAGCTGTTCTGCTGTTAAAATGACTCAAACCGTGCTTAGGAGCTTCAACTGTCTCACAGTGTCTTAAGTATCTCTTAATGTCAGTATTAGCAAGAGATACTTGCTGTCTTACAGGAGTAAATGATCCAGTTTCAGAAGATACAGACCACTCTACACTAAAAGGCCTCATCAAGACCTTAATCAGCTCAATCAACTGGATGAACAGGAATTACCACTTTAGTAATAGAAACCCCAGTCAGTTTTGTAGAGTATGCTTGTAGCAATCACTGAGAAGTCTGTGTATTTGAATTTATCAAAATTATTCTTTGGTTTTATTCATTGTGTTATTCAAGTGTTTCATAAAGGTTAATGATTACTGGTTCTGCTTTCATAATGGTAATATTTATCCAGTTTTAAAAAGTTAATAATCTGTTTTGGCTGCCTTATCACAGGATTTAAGAATATTTTTCCCCATGATAGTTGCTTAAATACTATTGTTGACTTTATTCTTGTTGCGCTGTTTCCATTTATGCCATAAATTCCAAGCAGCATATTTCTTTGTTAAAATTAATTTTAGAAGTTGTAAATTATTTGATCAGTTTTCTGCATATACATTGTTCATTGAATTGTTGGAAATAAACTGATTTTGTGCTGACATCTAAACAGACTACATGAGTGAAATATGAATGTAATAATAAAAAATCTTGTTAACTCTGAACTTGCAAAGTGATTATTCAGGTAGGTAGAAGCTGGAAATGTGTCCCTTTGGAAATCAAGAAATGACCTTTTCAGGAGTTCTTTCTAGTGGTCACATGGTTTTTAAACACAAATAGTGATGGTTCTTCATGATTAAGAATTTGCATCACTGTGGTTTAAGGTGTTTATTTTACAACGACAATTTGATGATGTTATTAATATATTTTAGACCAGTATGCATATATTAATATCTTTTAAAACAGAACATATTTGGAACAGTTACCATTTTTAAAATATTTTAACTTACTGATTGTTAAATATACAGGAATTATTTCATGAAACAGATAATACTCAAGTATTCTATAGTGTTCTCTAACAGTGTTCTTAGATAACTAATTGGTTTGGAAAAGAAGCTTTCTATGTGAGATGAAGCAGGCATTGTGAGTTTCCTCTGCAAGCAGAAATTGTCTATGCTTTAAATAGTTAATACCTGAGGAGAAGCAGTGTCTGCACAGGCACACATACCCGGTAGATAAAAGCAGAGAAAGAGTGACTTTGGGTACATTTTTACTAATTGGGCTTCGTAATATAACGGAGACCTTGAAGCACAGTACCATCAATGATGCCAGTAAGTGGCATATGGTGATGCGAAAGCGAGAGTTGATGTATCGATCAGACTGAGTTGTCTTCTGAAACTTTGAAGTATTTTTTTCCACACAAATCCTAGAATCTTCCAAGGAAATGAAGAAAAGTAGCTATTGTAGGGCTGCAGCGTGTGCTTGCGTGGTAGCTTTTAATTCAGCATTGTGCCGAGTTGTTGACCAATAAAGGTAATTAGAGTAGCTTCCTGTAGATGGCAGTACACGTTCAAATCCATGCAAGCGGGCAGAAAAACAAGTGATTCATGTCATAGAGTCCCAGCCTATTTTGGGTTGAAGGGACCTTAAAGCTCATCCAGTTCCAACCCCCTGCCACGAGCAGGGACATCTTCCACTAGGGCAGCTTGCTCCAAGCCCCCTCCAACCTGGCCTTGAACACTGCCAGGGATGGGGCAGCCACAGCTTCTCTGGGCACCCTGTGCCAGCGCCTCAGCACCCTCACAGGGAAGAGCTTCTGGATGTTGTCCAATCGGATGTAATGGCCTATCTAAATCTCCCTATTTCAGTTTAAAGCCATCACCCCTGATCCTGTCACTACCTGCCCTTGCAAAAATGTGAAAGGTGCTTTGATTTTTTTTTTTTTTTTGTCTTAGTTTTGGCTTGTTAAGCTATCCTGCTGATGATTTTGTGTACATCAAAGCTAGATAAAAAGAGTTCTTTGTAGCTTTTTTTTTCCTGAGCGGGCTAATAAGTCACAGTGTTCACTACAAAGTGTAGTCATCCCTGTCAGGAAAGGATGGGGTGTGTATACCTTCTGCTGGGATGCAGCTGCATTTGCTCCCAGTGCAGCTGGCACAGCCTCAGCTGTAAGGCTGGTCCCTCAATGTGCATTGACTGCAATGCCTTTTCAACCTGCACGTTCCTTCTCTGTGTTTGTCTGCTGCTCTGGCTTACTTGGCTGCATTGGCTCAAATGGAAGGTCAGGTGAGTGCCACCACTGCAAGGGAGGTCTACTGAGTGTGCACTGGGGGCATGTTAGTATATTTTCTGTTGTTGATAAACCATTTTAACATATCATGTAAAATTATTATTTAATGATAAGGTAAGCAGTTTATCTAAGAAATCTCTAGTTACGGAGATTTTAGGGCTTTTAACAAGCAACAGATTTTAAAAGTCCTTTAAGGTGAGGTGAATTGTGCACATAGGCCATGGGGAGTGTTCTGGTCCTTCATAAAAGAGTGAGCTTGTCTTTTCTGTTTTCTCCAATTTAAGCTTTGACACAACAGTGCAGAAATGGTGCACAGTCAGCGTCACCACAAAGACCTGTTCTCTGCACGCAGAGATGTATGCAGACAAAGCATCAAAGCTTATGCTGCAAACAAAGCATCTTATGCATGCTCCATATACAGCATCACCACAAAGGCTTGTTCTCTGCATGCTGTGATGTCAGATTTTGCCATGCAATGATCTTTACTCATCATCTAAGCATTATTCTGGTAGAGTAGATGAGGAAGCTGGATTTCCATCTGATTTCCATTCTTGTGCATGTTCCAAGAAATTTTCTTGAACTGTCATCTTTAAGTTCCTGCCATCCTCTCCTTTGTATCCCAACTAATCTTTTTCCTGTCTTTCAAAGCTTTTTACTGATTACCAAGTCAGCATTAGGGAGACATGTCTGCTGTCTGTCAGTGCATCTACTGAAGATCTTTGACATGATTACTTTTTTGTTAGTTAAAATCAATTTGTTATTCAACAGTCTCACAAGTAATACTGCAGAGATAACTAACACAAAGTTCGCAGACGGGAATTTAATTTCTGTTGTGAGGAAGCCTAACTGTCTCTCGAACCATAGCTGTGTTGTCTCCATTGTACAGATGACAAAGATGATGCACAGACCAAAATTAATCTCTGATTTAATCCTTTTGCCTTCAGGAGCAATGAAGCCCACTGATGATACAGTATGCTGCTGCTTATTACTAGTTTAATCTCACTGAACTAGAAATAGAAACCTGGGGTGTTGCAGCATGTAATGATTATATTACATTAGCAGAAGGTGGTGAGTAAATGGTCAAGGACCAAATCACATTAAGCCAATGTTGCTAATCACTTCCAGAGACATTAAACTCAGAATTAAAACTGAAATAACATTTACAACTTCTTAAAGGTCAGTGCTTAAGATGATAGGAAGGCACTATGGCAGCATGACTAACAGCCATGGGCAGGAGTTGGTGGTATAGCATCTCCTAAGAAGGAAATACAAAGGGAGTATCATCTGATGGTAATTGGAAGTTTCATAAAGGGAACACAGACTCCATAGTCTTAAGTAGAAAGAGTAAAATGAATAATGTTTTCCTTCGTCCCACTGGATGTAAGCTCACTACATGCAGTCACTAATGGATGACTGAATTACAGCTGACAATGTTATATATGGCTCTAATTTCCACTCACACAGGTTTTAATATCCATTTTTTGTTTTAAGACACAGAATGTGCATTTGAAAGCAATTTACATTAATACAGTATATCTTCAGACAAACATCATTCCCTGTTGTTGTGCTTTTAAACAGCCCAGCTATTGTTTGAAGTTAGTCACTGAAACAGCTGGACTCTGTCTGGCATTATGGCTGTGTGATCATTACAGAATGGTAAAGAATTTTCTGACAGCTTTGGTCCAATCTGTTTTCACTTTGAATTGGCAGTTGACAATGAACAATTTAGTTTCTTTCTGCTTTGGTAGTTGACTCTTTGAGTTACTGCTGTAAATGATTTTGTGTATTTTTAACTTTGATGGTTTGGGGCTTTTTTTTCCCCAGATTCAGTTATCATTGGTTTTATCCCTGCCCTGTCCATCTAACATTTGCAGCTAATAGGAGGAATGCAAAGGAGTGACATTGCTGTTTGCTTTGATAAGAAAGAGCCTTGCTTTTATTGCCAACTAATCAAATGGGCGGTAGCAGCTAATGGTGATCATAACTAAGCCTTGGAACTGCCATCCTTCTTCTGGAAGAACTGCATGCTGAGAGAACTAAGCTATGCTCCCTTTAAGGCAATGGTGATTTTTTGTTGGTCTAGTACAGTAAGTCATCAGCTGTTTCACTGCGAAGTGAAAGTTACAAAACTTCACAGTAGTTTTCCCATACTATTTTAAATGTCCCACTCGTTGGACTGAGTTATTTACCCCTTCATCACTTAGCATTCCTGACTGTGAATTTAGTTTTGAATGAGCTGTATCCTCCAGGCCATGCAGGACTTCAATAACAATTGTGTGATGATAAATGTCATAATAGTGTTAATGTAAGACTGTGCTCCATCTTTGCATAGGTGTAAGTTTATAGTAAATCTGTTTAGTTCAGTGAATTCATTCCACTTAGATGGGAGCTGAGGCAGCAATCTCTTCCTTTTGGGACTAACTTTGAAGATCTGATGCATAACTAACACTTAGTTTTCAGACTATGATACTGAGCACCTTTAGGATTAGGCAATGCATCTATACTTTGCATATAACAAGATTTTTTTTCTCTGCTTTTCTTGAAATTCCTAAGAGAAATGCTGAAGTGTGTGAGGATGCCTGCTGGCTTCATCTTGACAGGAGAACAGTATAGGAGTGAACTGCTGTTCATTCTGGGGCTTACCACTCCGTCTGGCAGATGCAGGCCAGCTACAGGAGGTCGTATGTATGAGCAGGCAGGCTGTCCTAATAGCGGAGTTTCCTCTTTCTCAGAAGCAGATGATTGAATAGAAACAATACGCTGCTTTCGCCATCTGATGATGAAGACTGACAGTTTGTAGGAGATGAGTCAAAGGTTACTGATGAGAGATCCATCCAGATAATTGCTGTAATTGCACCCTGAGGATGCAGCTCCAATCACAAAGCATTAGGCAGTGATTCTGTTTGTAAATATATACTTGGCAGTGAACTTCATCCTATGCCTTAAATCAAGGAAGTTCCCTCATGAGATATAAATGGAGAAAGTTCTCTTGATTTTTTTCTTAACTCAACCATGTTTTCTACTGTCAGCAGGTAAATAAGAAATAATCCCATTCTGAAACAGAGAAGTAGTTGTGATTTAAGTATAAAAATACCACTTAGTGTTCAATCATTTGCTGAATACATTAGCTGTTATTTCACAGCAAATACCATGAATGAATGAACATACATAATTCATAATATTTAATTTGAAAGTGCATTTTTTTTTTTTTTTACAATGACTGATTCATTTTCCTTGAGTTTGTCCAGTGACTTCTTTACAATTTAATACAAAAAGCTTTTCTATTGGAGAGTGAACAGTTACAGACAGGACAGAAGCAGATTCCCTGCCACCAAATTAGGTCTGTATTCTAGCCCTTCACAAAGGCACAGAAATCAGCAATGCTAAAGCATTAGGATGAGAACTCATGTTGGAGAATGAGGGGCAATGAAAGCA